CCCCAAAACCCCAAAACCCCAAAACCCCATCATCCTTATTATAAAAAAAAGATGAAAATTGCTATTAATATTCAAAGTATAAAATATAAATTCGGTACTTCATAATGCTTGCTTATAGATTGATTAATACACACATTAGTCAGTTAATATCTTTATGCTCACGATCTTTAAAATCCTTAACTTATGTTACTCAACCTGATTTCGCCACTTTGAACCATTCATCAAGCAATATCTATAATATGAGTTTAGTATAATTTGTAATTTTACCTAGCTTGCAGTTACTCTTGTAAGAGAGTCAACGTTAAAGATCCTTCTAATGAGATTTTTGCAGTCGTTGCTAAGTTCCTTGGGGAAATCAAATTTCGCTTTTTAAATTTTTCTAAATAGATCACCCTCAAACTCCCCATAGAATGGTAGTTTACCAGTCATTAGGATAAATAAGATTACCCCAAGAGCCCAGACGTCTGAGGCCTAGCCTAGATAATCTTTCTTTCTTGCAATGTCTGGATCCATATAATGTGGAGTTCCACAGAATAAATTCAACTTTTGATCAGAAGTGCATTGAACACTGAAACCGAAATCAATTAATTTTACTTTCTTTTTCTCGTCGACTAAAATGTTATCTAATTTTAGATCTCTGTGACAGATATTATTGTCATGCAAATATGCCACAGCCTCGACTAACTATTTAAATATGCTTTTACATTCAACTTCGTCCATTTTCAGGCCTGTCTTCTTCTTAATGTAATGATACAGACTTTTACCAGAGCAGAGTTCCATTATTAAGTTAACATTTGATCTAGTATCAATAACCTCATATAAACTCATGATATTTGGATGATCAATCTGCGACAGTATCTTTATTTCTTAATGTAATGCTTCCTGAGCGTGCTTATCGACTAAATGCTTTTTGTCATACGTCTTTAGAGCAATAATATATGTTGATTCCTTATGAACTGCTCTCTTTACTAATGCAAAGGCTCCAGCTCCTATTTAAATACCAATTTAAAAGTCTCTGAGCTAAAGTGGCTAATCATCAGGGTTTTACAATTTTCGCTGATTAATAAATTCCCTAAACAATTAAATTTTTGGTATGCCTGAATCCTATTATTACTTTGCAGGAGGCCCAGCAGCTTTTTTCTTTTTGATATCAATTACTTTAGTTGCTTTAAAAGATTTTAATTGAGATCTTTCATTTTAAGGAGTTGAAAGAGTAGTTGGAATGGACCCTAAAGTATCTGGGTAGTTATTAAGCCTTGATCTGTCCTAATCAAAGTTATTATCAAATCCATCTTAAATCTTTTGAGGAGATGTATGTTGCTTATTTTGCTGTTGATTAGTAAATCTTGAGGCATCAGATGCTGATTGCCTGACCATATCTGTCTTAGTTACATAATCAAATAGTGGCTATACATCATCGCCGTCAATAGTTAACTTCTTCTTGAATAGAGGCTAGTTCGTTGGTGGGATGTTGTTATTCTCATTAAACGATGAATTCTGAGATTTTTAGCTAACTGCAGTAACTTTTACTCTTGAAGTTCCATGAGCTGATTTATTTTACCTCATTGCTGTAGGTGTATAAGCTTGGTGTATATTTGTTGTTATCTGCTACTTCATTACTTTGGTTGAGTCTTTCCTTAAGTAGTTCTTCATATTGGAGGTAGTATTCAGGTCTCTACCAATGCTACCACTTTTGATAATACTAATTTGCTCATAAGGCCGCTCAGAGCAATTTCGACTCTCATCTTTGCTAATAACTCTCATACTCATTCTATTGCCTTAGGCACTTTCAAATGGGCCTGTTTAATTGTGTAGATAACTTTTTTAAACGTGAACTGACTAAACATAGTCTGTATCTCGTAACCCCTGAGAAAATAAAGGTAATTGCTTTTTATGATAGGAATCAGAGCTCAGAATTTCAATACCGTTTGAGATAATACTAGTCTTTTTGACATCACCTAAACGTATTTGTGAATACTTAAATCATCAGCACATTGATCTATTGATGAGAAATTTACTTACTATGCCTAGTAGTTGAAGTTTAACCAAAGTTAGCCCCATTCTTGGATTAAGTATTAGCTCTTGGTGCTAATTAGAGTTTGTGACTATTTAATTGTTACTATTTTGCAGTTTTCAGCATATTTAAGAATAAATTTGCCTAGCTAGAAGTTAATTATTCTAATAAATTTATCCCAATTCCTGGGCTTTTCTATCTGAAGGGGTTTTGGGGTTTTGGGGAGATCGGAAGAG